TGTGGGAAAATTCTTCTTCTACCAGTCCTTCATCACCTTAAACGAAATTGGGTGAATACATCTCATAAAAGGATATTTGTAAAGGGGGTACAGCACGTCTGAGACCTCTATTGGTCAGAAAATCTAGCTTTTTACAAGCTCAACACTTCCTTCTTTCGGCCAAAGCCAATAGTAGCAATATGAGCTTAGGCATTCACGGGTTGCTTAAGGTGATTTAAAGATGAATATGTTGCAAAAGGTTTATCCAACCAGACTGGGATGAAGCTAGAACTCTCCCAAACTGTATTTAATGTGAGAGTTTAGTATTTGTCATGTGAATTGAATTTTCATTTCGTTGCCTTTCATTTGACAAACAGTACCAGGGCGAGAATATGACTTTACCAAAAGGTATTCTTTTGTGGATAGAGCACTTCTTCAAAAGCTATATATAGTCTCGAACTCCTACTCAAAACTAATTCAAGTAAAGTTGTCGACCGTAATGGCAAATATATGCTTGCTTCAGTGACAAGCACATCATGTCATATGCAAGAGGTCTTGTTTGCCAGAAAATTTGTTTCTGTTCTGTCACCGACTAGCGTTAGTGTAACCATGTCAAAATTATAGACTCCACTATCTGGGTTCAATTTCCGCTGGGGGTGCGAATAAATTCCGGGCGAGGTCGCAACTGTAGTGCAGCCTGGATGGTATAGATTTTTTGGGAGGCAAAGCTAAGTAAACTTCAACGGTACAATGGGAACTTATCATTTGATCGGGAAATTTTGCTAATACTCTTTTGGCTTAGTGGCAGCATTGAAAGATACTTGAAAAGAGAACCGATATTCTAAATTAATATCCAACTCTAGTCATTATCCGTCTTCTGAATTTGCCACAGTTGGCCAGCAGTGTGGTCCGAGGCTTCCGTGTGACGGCTCATGCCTGCCTCGAGACCTGTCCCTCGGTTGTAGCCTCTCTTCAGTACACCAATGTGGAATGCTGCCTTGAAGACCTGTGCAATTGGCCTGAGGCTTCTGAAAAGAAACTGGCAGCTCTGCAACCGACTCGTGCCAATAGTACCACAACTCGACCCTCATCGGCATGTTGGCTCCGCAATCCATGGACAATACTGATCCCCTCAATATTGACTGTCGGGCTTGCTTACCTTCATGTGGGCGTCTAATGGAGTCATCTCGGCTGCACTTGGTAGCTGGGCCGAATCGGTGTGCATACCTGCATTCAGGAAAGCCGACTGCGGCCCAAAATCATAGTTCTCTCGTGAGCAATTGAACTATCTGGTCCATGAATCATCTGCCCTCATGGCATTGCAAACTAAGACCTGACCTTGAGACCTAAAATATGCTTATATCTCTATTTGCTTTGAGGCGATATGGTGTGGTAGAAAAATAGCTTCCACATCTCTATCAAAGGTCGTTTTAATGTAAATATGATTTCTGTTCTGAGTCTTCCTGTACATTCTTTAGCCATTGAAGCAACCGAATGAAAAAAGACGTAGCCAGATCCACACAAAACGATTTCTGATCTTATTTATGATTGCGAAAACTGGATTGTTTCACCCCTTGTCTGAGATATTCATATTTTTGTAAAGAGCCTTTTGCTCCCTCCAACTGGTATTTGTGTGCTATTTAGCATATAATTCTTTCTTCCTTTCGCCGGCAATGTGACTCGTTCCATTGTTGTGCATTCCGGCTGGCACGGATTTGATTGCATAGTTAGGTAATGCATCCAAGACTAAAGCGCACAGTCTGTTTTGTGATAAAAGCTAATCATTTTTGCCAGAAAGCCAGTCTAGTTGGCTTCTGATCGGCAAAAAAGTAGACTAAATCGCCCATCACTGACCAAAGAAAGTGATTAAAAATTAATTTTATATTGAGCTTGAATCCATCTCAAATTAAAGGGTTTAGGGAAGAGATTAAAAGGTGATCCCTTCGACTTCGGTTAAAAAGTGCTAAACTTTCAACCCCTCGTATGACGGACATCATACTTA